CTAGTCTTTGGTAGTAGCCATTCCAATTTCTTCTTGAACATATATATATATATATATATATATATATATATATATATATATATATATATATATATATATATATATATTATCATTTTATCATCTCTCTTTGATACTTATCTTACATATATACATGAATTCTTTGAATTCTTGTTCTTGATAAAATCACAAATAATAAATATCTCAATACAATCTTATATCACTCAAAAAGAGTAGATATATATTTTAAAATAATATAGTATTAGAACTATAATATCTATTTTAAAAGATAAGAATATTAAAAATTCTTGAGACTAAATTAAAAATAAAAAATATATTGACAAAAGTGAAGATAGATTTATTCTTACTTCCATACATATTATGTAACTAAGAGCTATATTACAATGTTCTATAGGAATTCAATATGTGCCTTATTTGCGAGAAACATGTCTAACTTTCAAGTCCAACTTTTTATATGTATAACATATGGCTAACTTCTTGGCTAAGTTTCTAACCTATCAATCAACTACAAACACATGATTTTTCTAATTTTTTTTAATCTTAAATATTTTTTCTTATAAATTCAAAATTAACCAATATATTTTTATTCTTTATAATATAGTTATAATTTTTTCTTGTCAATTTTGATATTTTTTCTTGTCTTGTAAGGAATTGAAAAAGTGTAGCTTTAATTTTTAAATCTTTTATAATTTATTGTATATGTTAATTAATAAAATTATTTTTTAATAAATATAAAAGTATTAAGTTTCTAAACAATGATATTTTAACTAAAATTCAAAAAGTCAATTGTCACATTTGAAAGCTATTAACAACTTGAAGGTATAATAAGTTTAGGAATATTTTCTTCAAATTACATTGTAGCCTATAAAGAAATTAACTACTACATGCAAGAACATTCTATTCAATATTTATTGCTAATTATCAAAATTGTGATGGATATGTTAATAAAAATTAAATTTTATTAGTTTTTGTATAAGCAAATTATCATTTTATATTAAAAAAAACAAAAAAAATAAATCATTGAAATTATATAATATATAATATTTTTGGTTAATATTTTTTTTAAATCAAAATAAAATGTAAATCTATTAAGTAAATTTTTAAAAATAATTTGACTTAAAATACTTGAATTGGATAAATAAGAAGTTTAGATTGGATAAAAAGTTATATTCAAATAATGAATCTTTGAAACTTAGATCTAATACCATCAAACTTTTTTTTAAAAAATAACTTTCAATTTTTTAGCAACTACATTTGCATGAATTAATTAAAATAATATAAGTTTTTCAAAAAATCTTGTCTTACCAATGTCTTTAAGATTAATTACTCTTAATATTGGTTGAGGTAGTAGACAAAGCTGATGCATAGTAAGTATCATATCTCTCATTTGTTCTTGAATTTATACTATGGAATTCTTCATTTCTACCAAATCTATCATATTTATAAGGACTTATATATTTCTATAAAATTAGAAATAAATAAAAATAATAATATTAAAAAATTATTAATATTAATTCAAAGAATAAAATTTACAACCTTTAAATATTTTTGATGATGTAAAAAATAAATAATAAGCTCTTTATTAAGAAGTATTAAATCATGATATTATATATAATATTCATGGTAAAATATTATGATATAGAGTAAGTAAAAAAAATAAAAGATAATATATTTTTATATTATTGAATAAAGTTTAAAATTAAATATAAAGAAAAAAATAATTAGAATGATTATTGCCAATTATAAAGAAATTAGAAAGTTTTGAATTAGATAGACCAAAATATAAGGCATTGATGAGACTAAGAATGATTCACTTTTGCCTCCTTATATATCTTGTTAAAGCTTCATCAAAACTACAAGGCTTGAAACCTAAGTGTTAAGTTGTAAGTTTCTTTGAATGCAGCTTTGCAAAAGTATAATACTTATAAGACAAGATTTTATAACCATGTGATAAATCTGTAGATATAAAAATATTTAATCTCCATCTAAAATACTTTATCATTATTAAGTAGATTATTAAATTAAGAAATAGATTTAAAGAAATATATAATATGAAAAGAAAAAAAACTTAGAGCAACAAGGTCTAAAGTAGATTGAAGAAATCCAACCTACTTTAAAATTCAATGCCCAAGTTAGGTCAAATTAGAGTTTAGACAGTAGATGGACTTTTGATCTAAAGCTGATACTTAAATCACCTAAAAACAAGACACTTAAGTTAGATTAAATTAAGATAAGACAATAAATAGGCACTCAAAAATGAAACTTAGCTATCATAATAAATTATAAGTAATATAATTATATAGAAATATCATATTAATATATATATATATATATTATTTATTTATATATTTTTTGAATATAAAATTATATTTAAATATAAGAATATTAATTATAAAAGCTTAAAATATGACTAATTTTTTTTGTAATTAATAAATTTAATAAGTTTCTAAATTTTATTTTTTTTAATTTTGTACCATATAATAAATAGATATCACTTATAATTATAGTATCTAAAAAGAATAGATAATTATATAATGTAACTAAAAAAAACCTTTTTATTGTCCTTTACAAATTTTATTCTTAATGTGGTAGTTGAATATGAATATTTTTTTATTTTAGATGTATTTTTAGAATGTAAATTTTTTTGTACTTCTTTCAAAGTTAGATTTTTAACTATCTTCACAATAAATTAGAAAAATATGATTATATGATCACATCTTTTAAAATTAATGTCTAATTTTTTAATTTATCTTATTTATTTTTAATGTTGATAAAATCAAATATAAAATTAAAATAAAATTTTAAAAGAATAAATTAATTATATATATTTTTAAAATAAATAATAATTAAATATATAATAAATTTTAGAATATGATATATTAATAATTTGAGATAATTTTTTGGATGCTAATATATAATTGGATTTTCATCTTAAATGAAATTACTCTGAGTTAGATTATATGAAAAAAATACTCAACACATAGCTTTCTAATGTTATGTTGCATTTACATTTGATATTCTTTTTTTGACTCATTTCTATATATCAAATAATAAAAAATTAGTTGCCTTAATCTTTGTGAATTTGAATATATATATATATATATATATACATATTAATTCTATAGAAATTTACTTGAGTTTAAAAGTTCTTACAAAATTAGTTGATATAATTACCACATCAATTATTGTTTTATGTTCTCAAAGATGTACTTGCAAAAATTATTATTACTTATATTAAATATTTCCTAAATTTTGGTGGTTAAGATGGACAAGATTATAGTACTAACTAAATAATGTAATCATAGATTTCAAAAGTTATATTGTATGTGCTCTTGGATCTTATTTTTTTAAAATAATGGTTATGAGGATAACAAAATTATCCTTAAACTACGAGAAATATATAAATTATTTTTTTTATTAATTTTTAAAAATCAAATATAACAAGTTTGTAACACCAAGATATATGTTAGCATAATTCAGAACAAAAGATGCGATTTTTCTCATAATTCTATAACAAAGCTTTGGTGGATTTTTTTTTGTTTTTGTTTTGTTTTGTTTTTTGTTTTTCCATATCTCAAATTATTATTTTTTTCTTTTTCGAAGTAAAAATAAAAATATATAGTTTGATTAAATGTTTTATTACAATTTGAATAAAGAAGATAATTTTTTAAATTATAACTAAAGTAACAGTACCATTTATTGAAGTTATTTTATTTTTTAATATTTTTTAATATTTTTTAATATTTTTTTAAAAAAATCTTAAAATAAGGTTTTTAACATCCTAAAGGTATTGAGATAGTTGTGCAAAAGTTGGTGGGAAAAATCATGTGGTAGTCCAGGTAGGGTCATTGGTAAAGAACGTATTTCAAAGATAAAGTTGAGGCATGGACATGACCATTATGAACTAGGAATTTTTCAAACCGTTGTTACGAGGATTGTAGTGATCTTTCTGACCTGAGAATATGTTCAATATGTACGTTGGCTTCAAATGCAGAATCTGAAAAGGACAAGAATAGCCTTGTTAGATATGACTTGGAAGTATCCCCTCCTCATTTCAACGGCCTGGCCCTGCAAGCATTACTGCTGTTTGATAATTGTCAATTGAGCCAAATGCAGCCACCATTCAGAGAGAGTACAACACAGGAAATTTTGGCCACAAGAATGGTCAACATAATCCAGTAAGTAATGAGTAGAACAGACAAGTGAATGCCCAGAAGGAGGTAATTAAATCTACTCAAAAGTAATTCCTACCAACAATAGAATAATTCCTGCACTCAAACTTAAATCTGTGATGTCTATTTCATGCTGCAAGCAACCAAGTGCAAAGGGATACTAAGGGAAGGTTTTAGCACTGTACATTGATGCATGGAGTACGTATTCTTGTGCACTATCAAATAGTTTTATTAGTTTAACAGCACATTGAATTTCAGTATGCTGCGTTGTCTCCACAAAAGCCTGTGCTGGAACTGCAAACGCGATGCCATGTACTGAGACTTTCTGGAAGATTGAGCAAAGTGGACATCAAATCGAGAGAGTGCGAAAGAGAGGCAGAAATATTGTAAATCTGCTGCAAGCTCGAAGTATGGTGGAAATTCCTCTGGAAAGCAGAGAACTCCTCATCATAGCCATTTCAGACAGCAAAGAGTCACACTTAGTTGGAATGGCGCAATTTCATTTCTTCACTGCTGTACTCACAACGTGTGCCACGGGGTTCAGTGAGCTGCTGAAGGGGCATTGGAGTCTGCCTCAAAGTTACTAGAAATGGGTAACCCTCCATTGCCATCATGTCAGACAGAACGACGGCATGTTTATTAGCCCACAATGTCTCCGCTATTATCTTATCACATGAGTTTCCACCAGCTACAAAACCAGCTACAAATGGTTAGTTAAAACTGGAGTAATACACAATCTGATACATAGGAACCTTGTTGCTCATCATAATTAAGCGGGCCGGCTGAAAAGGTGGTTGAACCAAACTACTCAACACAATGACCGTTATTGCAGTTACCCAATCCAAAGCTGCACAACTGCACACCATCTCTCGTACTTCTCCCCGCATACCGTTTTGAAATACGGTGTCGTCGGCAAATTTCATTCCGATGTCAGGGTGCTTTCGCCGTAAGAGCAGCTCATTACAAAATAATGATCTGCTAATGACAGTCGAAGAACATTCATACCAGCAACTGTGATAGTTGCGTGAAGGTAGTGCATCAATGAATCGCTTAACACGAGAGGAAGTTCCCCGAGGATCCGCCTTGAGTGGTTGATAGATTTGCAGAACTTATCAAAGCTCATCGTGAAGTTGTTTGATGGTGCGAGGGTTATAGGAACGAAAGTATATCAAAGTCAACATAATGTGCAACAGCTGGAGCTTAGCACAATTGATTTCCTGCGGGCATTGAAAAAGACATGGCATGCCTCGCTCAGATAGATCAAGGTAAGAAAATCCTCGATTTCATCCTCAGGTGTAATGATGAAATAGTTGCACACCAGCAAATTGTGTGTCAAACCGTCTGCATTGGCTGAACACAGCAAAAATGGCAGCCGCGGAGTTCGGAGTGGGAGGATATTGGAAGGATCCCAATTACCAGCGTGGCACATGTGTAAACACGCTGCGCGATGCTCTGCGCTCTTGGGCTAAGGAAGTCTCACGTAAATTCACTTTCCTGCTCCCTATCACCACAATTCTTAGGGTGGTACGTTGCAATTATTCTGAATGAAAAGCTGGTAAATCTCCCGTTTTCTTTCATAAAGTTATCATGTGTGATTTCAAGATAAATGATGCTTCTTTAAATGATTTGTGAGGAGTATGAGCTGTGTTTGCAGGAATGAAGAAGAGGGACGCAGATTTGTCCACGTCCATTCAGAACTGTGCTCGGCTGGAGCAAAATTTCATCGCTGTGCAGAATTGTGGCATTGACCCAGACACATTTCAGTGCACCCGTAATATGCCTGCATCTAGCACTTCCTATAATGTTTCACGTAGAGACAACTGCAAATGAAACAAAAGAAAAATGGGCATGAGATGCAGCACCAGAGGGATGATATAGGGTGCACGTGTGTGTGCAGAAGAGCAGATTGCAAGCCTTCTGGGGGCGGCAGAGAGCATTATGGCGGTGGAGGAGATGCACTCGTTCATGGCGGAGAGGAATCGGGCGGCGCTGGACGCGTCGTTCCTGCTGTTCGGAGCGAAGGGCATCATCAAGGCCCCGGAGATGTGTGTGGGGTGCGTATTACCTCAACAGCGGCGCGTTGGCAGTTCAGACAAACCCGCCGTAGTAGTGAAGACCATGTCCGACGGGTGGCAACCGAGGTGGCCTGGCGACCTCGGCGATCCCTTCGAGCCCTACACTGTGCGTGCCCTGCAATCCAGTAGATGTCTGCAGCCCTGGTCCGACCCTCAGCAAGAGTCCGCATCTCTTTCTTTGTGTTTGCAAGGTCAGGGTGGGGGTGGAGAGATGGTGTGCAATGAATGGCGGTGAGGGCCTGCACTGAAAAGGGGATGGGGCTGCGGGCAGTGTTGATGGTGGTGGTGGGATGTGGAGGCATGCAGCAACTGTTGGAGCAGTACCTGCACAGCGCCGTCTCCTATCATGCCAAGTTCGTTACTCTCCCCCTCTCTCCCTTCATCTCTGATTCATTCCTATGCCTGCCTGCGTGCATCTCTCTCTCCCTGCCTCCCCTCCATCTCATTGGCACTCTTTGCTTGCTTTATTGCTTGGTTGAGGACATGACCATACCTTCCGCCTCTCTCCCTCTCGTGCTCAAGTAGAACATTACAGTGCTTTGTATCTATACCCCCCCCCCTTTTTTTTTATTTCAAACAATGTAAGGAGAACAATCTAAGTTGAATGAAGCAAAACAAAGGGGTGGCAGTGGCACAAGTTAGTGAGTAAGAATTGCCCTGGTAAGCTTGGGTTGGGGAGGCGGATGAGGCTGAGAGTCTTGTGGTGCGAGGGTGGATTCCTTGCCCAGAGCATTGGAGCAGTTCAGTGGTGCCTTTGCAGCTATGAAGCGCGCCAGCAAACAAGCACGAGATGTGGCATACATCCACACTCTTGCTGCTGCTGCTGGCTTGTCTGTCAAAGAATACCAACGCCTTCTTGAAATGTTCAACCGCATTGATCAATGCAAGATTGGGTATAATGCGATTGCTGTACTCCTCCATACAGAAACATAGTTTGATTTCATATCCTTTGTTGATTGGACATTACTGTCAATGTGTACAATTTAATTAGCTGGTATATAATTAGTTAAAATTGTAACGTACACATGATTTTATTTATGAATGAGTATATAAATTATATTTTTTGATGCAACACCAGGACAATAAGCAAACAACAACTTATGGCTGCAATGAAGCGTGACAAAGATGTAAATAAGAAATGTCTAAATTTTATTTTTTAAAATAAATAAATAGATATGTATATTTTTATATTTTTGAGAGGTAAATTGTTCCAAATCACTGGAGATTGAAGTTAAGATGAAGGTGCTGGGTTTGTGCCAAAGGGTAAGTAACAGAAAGGGAGGGCATGGGGTGGGGTGGGGTGGGGTGGCTCGCACAGATTGCAGCATTCATGCAGCTATCCAGGGCCAAGCAGAAGGATGGAAGGAGAGAGTCATTTGAGGGGGTATTCAATCGGATAGACTGCGAGGGAGGGGGAGCTGTGACTTGGGAGGCATTTCTGCACTTCTTCTCCAGTGAAAGATCCCTCATGACGGATTCCGCCTTGAATCCAATGTGTGTGCAGCCAATGTGCAACCAACCATTGTGTGTCCAGGCTGCAATGTGTGGCGGCCCTCCACCCCCCTTGTTCCCTCCCTCCTCCCTTTGTAAACTTGGACCATGCTAGCCCATTCACCATTTTTTCTACATATTTATCAAAACCATAAATATTCTGCACAAATGAAATCTATAAATATGTATATATATATATATATATATATATGTACAATTTAAATACGGATTTTTTAAAATGGTATTTTCTATTCATTGGACTTGCTACAATGAATATAACCTAAATGAAATCTTAGATGAGTGTGTTGGCTCACTGAATATCTCATCAAGAAACAAAAAAATATTAATATTAATATTAATAATAATAATAATTCCAAAAATAAATGTATGAATATAAAAAGAACACATGATCATCTAAAAATAGATAATTCTACCAAATATGTGATTAAAGAAGAAAAATGAATCCACTTTATAGGTGATATAAATGTACTTAAGCTAATTATTAGTAGCTATCATATTTATATGTAAGTTACATTCATATTTACACAAATTCAATGCATAAATTCAACTATTGAGTATTTTAAGAATTCATACTTATTAGCATGTCAATAAATGAATCTGAACTTGTAGAATGTCAAAAAAATAAAAATAAACTTCACAAAACCAGTTGGATCAATTGGGTTTCATAATTATTTATGTACAAACGTAATTTTATTTTTTATGATTTAAATAACTTGAGTTACATTAGAAGTGAATTCATTTCAGATTAGATTTTAAGAAAACATAAGATGTCCGAAAATAGGCTTAAATATTTTTCCAATTGCAATCAATTATTAAGATAATTTTAAAAATTTGATCAGAATTTTGATAAATCTCAAACATCTTGTAAATTGTAAAGATATTTTCATATTTTTTTTTATTGAAATTCACATCTTATTAAAGTGTACGAACAAATTTATAATTTTTTTGACAAACTGAATAATTCCAGAACTATAAAAATGTGATTAATCTAAAAAATAAATATAAAAATTCAAATAATTAGATTTAATTTTAAAAAATAATGTTTAACATTAATATTTAAAAAATCTTAAAGGTCTTGAAATAAAATATACAAGAGACTTAAGAAAATGATTTGTGAATCATCGAATTGGCTTACATTTTTTTTTTAGAATAAAAAGATGCACTTATAACAACAATTTAAGGTTAGTCACTGCAAAAATCTTAAATAAGTGGAGAAAATGAACTAGTGGTAGGAATATAGTTCCTCATAGGAATTCTCATTTAGCTTTTTAATGGATGGAATTTCATAATATGCTCCTATTAGCAATGGTTGTAACAACTTGTTGATTGCTTGATTAATCAACCAAAAAATTATTGAACAAGTATTTGCTAAAAAAGATGGATTTAGTATTGATTGATAATTGAATGTTGTTATCACTCATACTTTTTAGCATTTAAAACTTCCAAAATGGATACAATTACTTATACCTAGGGGACATTGCTCAAGTTATATAGGTACCACAATTGAAAGGCAAAGTAGATAGCCTAAGCAAGCTATTAGCTATTATACCAAATAAGTGTTAGCATTGGATTATTTGGGATTAGTTTCTAAGCAAAATATACAAAAATTAGGAAGTTGGTTGTGATCAAGAAAGTGCTGCAAGACAAATAATATAAGAATTTTGAGTTGCAATTTATGTAATTGACTATCCATTCTAATATGAATAATACAATTCCATGAATCAATAGAATTTCCTTTTGATTGTTGCATGAGAACTGTTGATGGAGTGTCAATCGACATTCTTTGAAAATGAGCCCATTCAAGAAAGGTCTAATTGTCCTTTGTGGCTCTTTCTTATTATTTTACTTTCTTGTCTCTACTTCTTTTAGCACAGCTATGTCATTCATGCATTGTTCTTTTTTTTTTTTTTGTTTTTTTTTTGTTTTTTTTCCTTAATGTAATTGATCTTGATTGCAGTTAGTTAAGAATCTAATGTAATTTCTTCTCAATTATTTTACTAGAATTGAAATTTTATAACAATGGTGGTTTTTTTCTTTTCTCAATTGTTTAAAAGAATTATTCAGTGGTGTTGACGTAATTTTATTCTCTTCTCTCTTTTATAACTCCATTTGGATAGTTGTTATTGGCAATGCCAAAGTTTCTTGTTATAATATAATTTGATGATTTTTACTAAGTGATATTGTATTATAACATAATTACATGGTGAATATTAAAAATATGAATAAGAGCCTAATTGAAAGATATAATAGCAAAACATAGATGAAAGATAGGAAGGTAGTAAAAATATTTAGTATTAATAATGTTTTTTTGTAAAAATACTTCTATTTGCTTTATATGGCCATAAATAAGATAAAGTAGTTTAAATAAGAAAGAAAATCCTCAATATACTCTTGTCTCACTAAAGAGAATTAAAAAGTCACTGAAATGTGAATATAATATAAAACTACAATAGTTATTGCCAAAAACAAGAAAACTAAAAAGTCTTAAAATAAGACTAAGGACTAGAAAAGTGTTGATAAGAGTGAAGAAGGCTTTACTCTTGCCTCCATATATATATTCTCTAGCTAGGAGTTACGTGGCAATATTCTATAGGACCTCCAATATGTATTGACTTTGCTAGCCACATGGCTTAACTTACAAGGCAAGTTATCTATGTATGCGCCATATAGCTAGCTTGTTTTATAAACTATCAATATGTGGTTAACTTTTTGGCCAAATTTCTAACCTACAAACACATCTAAAGTCAAAATCGTGTCTATGAAGCTTTTAAAAAGCTTTTTAGAAGTCTTTATGAAATTAATCTATATGTACATACTTCTACCTAATCATATAAATAACTATTGAGATAAATGTATTTGTCCGTGATATTACCCTCTCTTTTAGACATGAGTTCTACAAGGAGCAGTCATCATTTTTCATAGATCTTCTAATTCTTTATCTTGGTTTTCATAGATGTCATTGATGAAAGGCCTCAACCTTCTTTGTTTCATTTGCAAGATTCTTTGCTGGCTTCCATGTGCATTCACTAATATCATATTTGTGCCAACAAACAAGATATTCTAATTTATTTTGGCACCACCTTGAATCTAAGATTTTTTCCACCCCAAACTCTTAATCAATATCCACTTTTATAGAAAGAAGTGGCATTTGTCTTCTTTCCAATTTATTCACTGTCTAGTATGGCTGAAGAAAAGAGACGTTAAATATAAGGTGGATTTTTATAGACTTTGGTAGATGCAATTGATAAGCAAGAAGATTGATTTGTTCACAAATAAGAAAAAGATTAGCCTACAATAATCCAACTTATCTCAAGATCGAATAATCTTGATATTGTGACAAAGTAATCATACCTTATTATTCACATTGAATTATGGTTGCTCCTTGCAATAGGCATCCATATTGATCTTTTGTTGTTCTTGAGCTTTTTTTAATTGTGTCTTTATTGTTGCATGTAGCTCTAATAAAAGATTTGCTAAATCTTCTGCTATAGGATTATCAACTTTTGAAAAGTCAAAAATATCAACTTATGGATGATAACCATAATTGAAAAAGAAAGGTGTTTATTGAATAAAAGAATGTATCAAATTATTGTATGCAAACTCTACTAATGGCAAAAAAGTTATCCAATCATCTTAATGATAGTTGATGGTACACCTCAAATATTGCTCCAAAACTTAATTTATTTGTTCCATTTCTCCATCACTTTGAGAATGAAAAGCCAAAAAAATCTTTATATCTATTTTTAGAATCTTAAATAGGATTTTCTAAAAACTTGATACAAATTGAATTTCCTTATCCAATATAATATCTTTTACTAATCCATCATAGCAATAGATATTGTCAGTGAAAAGCTTAACTATTTTTTTACTTGAAATGGATTTTGTATATGATATAAAATATGCCATTTTAGTGAAGCGATCTACGATTACAAATATAGTCATATAAACTTGACCTTAAAAGATCTGTAATAAAATCCATAGAAATAGAAGACTATGGTTGTTTAGATATAGGCAATGGTTGGAGAAGTCCATAGAATTGATGACGAAGAGTTTTTGATCTTGAATAAATGTTATGATTAGACAAAGTCTTTTACCACCTTTTACATTTGTGACTACCAAAAATCTCTACATATAAGCTTTAAAGTCTTGTTGTATCCAAAATGTCATACTTTTGGAAAGTCATGACATGCTTGAAAAATATGTAAACTTGCTTCTTCTTCTAGAACATATAAGAGTCCTTTGAAATAGAGTAGATTGTTCTTCAATTCAAACTTTGAAACATCATGAGACTTAGAATAAAGATTCTTGATATCATGAACAAAAAAATCACACGACATACTCGATTGAATTTGTTTTATAAAGGTCAAATCAATAGTCAATGTTGATTTTATTGCTTAAAGATGAAAATACTCTAGCTTCAAGAATATTGTTCTTTATTGATCAAAAGATACATCTCCTTCTTTTGGTGTAAGATAAGAGCATCTAAAAAGAACATCTAATAAATCTTATTATTTTCTAAGTCAATAAGTGATCTTAAAATCAAATCTTGATGATGATATGTTTCAATGAGCTTGGCAATGATTTAAAATATGTGCTCACATGAAATATTCAAGATTCTTGTAATCTGTAAATACGGAGTCATATTATGTGTTGTCTTGCTTGGAAATACACCGGGCACCTAGCTATGGGAAGTGATGCTATGTTTTACAAACATCCAGGTAACCCTAATAGGTTTCATCTATATGAGAAGAATATAATCCAAATTTCAATTCAAAAGTACTAAAAAAAACTCTTCTTAGTAGCCTCAATCACACATAAATCTCAATTATCTTGTTACTTTCATATTTAAGTAATTTAGATTTTTCTTGTAAGTCCCAACTCTAAACAATGAGCTTTGATAAGTTGTAACTTATAATTTGACTAATTACTTGATGTGAAATTTTTCTTGCAATTGTCAATATAAGTCTTTTATATGCTTTTGAATTTTCAGCCCAATGCAACTTATAAATTGTGAGAAAACCTCCAAAAACTGCATTGATGTTATTCAGCCATCAATTTGAAAGGTGAAGCAAAAATTCCAGCAGTGATTTCTCCTTCTCCAATTGTTAATTTTAACTCAAAATTAGTATGCACTTTTATCTTTAAGTCCTTCAATACCATGTCAAATTTCACCTTGATCCAATTAATAGATCTTTAAATATCATAGAAATCCTATCCAACCCCAAACTGCCAATTTTTGATATGTTCTTGTACCAAAACCTAGATATCTCTCAATTGCACCATTGAATTATCACAAAATTTC